CGCATGCCCGTCGCTGCCTGTCACCCCCCCCCCCCCCCTACACACACACACACACACCACCCCTGCACCCTCACATGTCGTCCAATGATGGATTCTCCTCCTTCCTCGCCCGTGCCCGGTACCAGCTGTGTGTCTACGGCCGGTCGCCCGAATGGTCGCTCCACCCACCTCCCCGAAGCCAACCAACCCCAACGCAAGACCATGCAAATGCTGCAGAGCATAGCATTGGTGGGCATACTGGGGATGATGGAGATGATGCCGCTGGCCATGTCGATGCCGCTCACACCGCTGCTCCGCAGTCGGCTGACCGCCACTCGCCCGACGAGCGACTCGGCGGGCGGACCGAGGTGTACTACGGAGAAGTCGTCGATGTGGCGCTCATTGTCCACACCGACGATCGCACTGACTTTGCTCGCTCGTTCTTCTCTGCCGCACACATCGGCCTCTCTCTCACCCCCGCAGAGCCGGCGTCATCGGCCACGCCAGCCTCGCCCGTCAATGCGACATCGGACGACGATGGGTGGATGCCGCTTGATCCGCTGCCGTCGTTTGGTGCTGATGTGGCGCAAGAGCCGGCGTTCTGGTTTGGCGAGTACGATGACGAGTTCGGCGACGCCGCCATTGTCGTCACCATGCGGGTGCCCATCCGCTCGCTGCCAGCTTCGCGCAAGCTCTCGCTCGTGTGCACTGTCACGCCGCCGCTGCTGGTGGAGACCTCGCGCGAGTCGCTCCTCTCGTCAGTCCCGTTTGCGGCCGAGCCCGACGCCGCGTCGGTGGCACTTGAGCTCGACGTTATCTGCCCGCTTGTCGCTGCCGCGCGCTGTGTCCCGCTTGCCGCCTCGCACGCCATCTCGGTCTCGCTCACCAACACCGCGGCTGTGCCTGTTGGCCTCGACCGCGCCTCGTTCATGCTCGCTGGCTCATCGTCAGTCCGTGACCTGGCCGTCCGCGATGGCTTCCATCTCGAGGTCGAGGGCCTCTCCCACCTGCCGTGCACGCTGAGTCCCGGCGAGGTCTTCACTATGGTGTATGTGGCCACGCCCAAGTCGCCACTCCGCCGCTCCGATGCCGCCTTTTTCGCCGACCTTCGCCTCGCCTGGTCCGTTGCTGGTATGGCCGCCTCAGGTGTCACCTCCATGTATCGCATCCCCTGGCGGACACCGCTCTCCGGCGACCTCATTGTTCAGACCTCGCTCCCGCCGTCGATCACCGTCGCCCGCGTCTTCCCGGTCTCCATCCAGGTCACCAACGCCACCGACATGGTCAAGAGCGTCAAGCTCCTCCTCCCAGCCGCGCGCTCGCTCGTTCTTACCGCCGGTGGCCTCGGCGCTGTCTCGCCGCCGCTCGCCTCCTCGCAAGCCTCGATTGAGACTTTCCTCGCTGCACGCCTCCGCACCGACGTCGCTAACATCCCAGTCTGGCTCTCGCCATCGACAGATCCGGAGAGTGATGACTCGCGCGCCGCCCTCGCCGCCCTCGCCGACGAGTACCACGCATCCCACCCCGCAGACTCGGCCCTCCTCTGCCTCGAGCAGTCGGTCGTCCTCGGCGACATCCCGCCGAAGGCCACCATCGCTGTCAACGTCTACGCATGCGCCCTCACTGACGGCTTCTTCGAGCTCGCCGCCATCCGCCTCTACGACGAAACCGCCTCGCAATACTACGTCGTCGCTCACCCGACAACCGTCTTTGTCGCGCCGCTCGGCTCAACTGCCACCATCTCGTACTGATGCCTTTAACTCGCCCGCAGTGCAGCCGGCAGTTCGCGATCGGGGCGTGGCGCAAAGTTGTCCATCCCGTGCCGCCCGCCGAACCACTCGACGACCGCCACCCACACCCGCCGCGGCAGCAGGCCGAGCACCGGAAACATGGCCCCGACCGCCCATGGGAGCACCACAACCTCCTCCCGGGCCTCCACGCTCTCTACAATGCTCCGAGCCACGTCGTCCGCCTCGAGCGCAGGCAGGAGCCACGGCATCCGCAGCTGCACCCCGTCAAACATGCCGGTGTTGATCTTGTACGGACACACAAGCGTGAGCCCGAGGTACCCGTCGCGCCCGTCTGCCCGCACCTCGAGCGCCAGCGACTCATGGAAGCCGACCAGTCCATACTTGGAGCAGCAGTAGTCGGCGAGGCCTGCCGCCGGCACCAGGCCCATCGTCGACGCCACGTTGACAATCTGCGCCTGCTCGCCCGAGCCCGCCAGCTGCGGCCACAGCGCCTCCACCAGCGCCATCGGTGCCTCCACGTTCACCCGCAGACTCGTCACCATCGCCTCGGCTCGCCCATCGCCGCTGCCCACCCGCCGCCCGGCCACCACCCCAGCGTTGTTCACCAGCACATTGATAGCGAGTCCCTTCTCCGCCAGCTCCGCCACCAGCCCGCGCCGCGCCTCCGCCGACGTCACGTCCATCACCACGCCCTCCACCCGCACCGCTGGATGTCTCGCGCCCACAGCCTCCACCACACGCGCCACACGCTCGCCGTCCACGTCCACCACAACAACCGCCGCCACCCCGCGCGCCGCAAACTCCGCCACAAGATGCCCGCCCACCCCGCCGCCGCCACCGGTCACCAGCACCCGCGCCTCGCCCAGCGCCAGCCGCGGCAGCGCATGCGTTCGCCCCAGCCACCGCACCGCACACCTGGTCAGCCAGCAAACCACAATCCCTGCTACACACCACCACGTCCACCACATGTCGCTCCCCCACCGCGTCAGGTGCTCCTCCCGTCTCGGACTCCCCCCCGCCCCAGGAGCCTTTTCTTGGCCTGACGGCCTTTTCCGCAGATCGGTGAATCTACGTCGGCCTGATCACTCTCCTCCACCCCTTCCCCCCCTCTTCAATGGAGACTAGCGAGACCCAGACCCAGGAGGAGGTGACCCAAGAGCTGACACAGCCATTTACACAAGAGGCACTGTGTTCATCTTCTTCTCCTTCGCTCCGGCCGACCAAGCGTGCCGTAAACGGCGACGACTCGCCGCGGCCGTCCAAGCGGGCTCGGCGTCTCGACGACGGCGTGACGGCGGTGGAGGACATTGCGGCATGGCCGACGTATGCCGCGGCGCACAAGCTCGATAGCAAGGTCGCGCCGTCTCCAGGCGAGCTGAGCTACGACTACGCGCCCGAGCTCAATGAAAAGATCGCGCTGTGGTCGGGCGACATGACCAAGCTCGCCGTCGACGCCATCGTCAACGCCGCGAACCGGACTCTCCTCGGCGGCGGCGGCATCGACGGTGCCATCCACCGCGCCGCCGGATCCAAGCTCCGTCGCACATGCTCGCTGTTGGGCGGGTGCGAGGTCGGTGACGCCAAGATCACTCCGGGCTTCAACCTCCCGGCTGCCCACGTCATCCACACCGTCGGGCCCATCGGCCGCAAGCCCAAGCTCCTCTCACGATGCTACACCTCGGTCCTCGACCTAGCCAAGGCCGAGGGCCTCCGCTCAGTCTGCTTCTGCTGCATCTCCACAGGCATCTACGGCTTCCCCAACGAGCTCGCCGCCCTCGTCGCCCCGGCCACCGTCCGCGAGTGGCTCGAGGCCTCGCCGCTCAACGCCGCTGCCTTTGATCGCATCGTCTTCTGCACCTTTCTTCCCACAGACACTGCCCTCTACGAGGCCTCGCTCCGCCGCATCTTCCCGCTGGCCCCACCGCCAGCACCCGTCGCCGGCCAGGCTCTCCGCCGTGACTCGACCATCCTCATCGAGTCGCTCGCCGTCGGCGACTCGGACTCGGGCACCGTCTCTGACTCGGACAGCGACTCTGACTCGGCCACCGAGTCGGCCGAGCCCGAGCCCGAGCCCGATCTTGTGCCCCAGCCCCAGGCGCAGCCCCTTCCTGTCCAGTCTACCGCCAAGCGCAACTCGGCCACTATCACCTCGTTCTTTGCGCCGCAGTAGCCGCAGCAGCCCACCCAATGGTTGTAGTCACGTCAACTCCGATCTCCCCCGTGACAACACATTGCAAAGACAATAAATTGGCTGGCGCCCAAGCGCGGACATGACCGCACCTTGCCCCGCACCACGCAAGCCCCACTCCCACTGCCCAACCAACCCCAGCGACATCCTCAAGCCGTAAAACCACCCCCTACACACTCCCTAACACCACCCGTCCTCCTTCTAGCAACACCTACTCCATCACAACACCCCCATCCCCCCTATGCCCCCTCCCCGCACCCTCGTCCGCCCCACCACCAACAAGACGTAAAACCGGCTGACGCAAGTCCATCCACTGGCGAACAAAACCCCAACGAAATTCCCGCACGATGCCTCATGGGCGTTGTCATGCCACAGAACAATCAGCTCGTGTTCAACACCGCACCCATCTCTCTTTCCAACCCCAACTCTATCATGTCTGGCTCTTCCCCCTCCGTGCTCATGGTCTTTACCTCGAACGATCGCCTGGGTGATCAGGGTACGTACATTCCTTTCTGCAGCTTCAGCTTGTGCGGCATGGGGAGGGGAGGGCACACATCCGGGACTCACTCACGTCGAGGTGAGACAGACACGCCGACTGGCTGGTACCTGCCCGAGGCTGCGCATCCGTACTACGAGTTCAAGGCCGCCGGCTTTGACATCCACTTTGGCTCGCCCAAGGGCGGCCTTCCGCCTGTGGATCCGAGCTCGATCGAGGCGACCAAGGACGACGACGAGTGCATCCAGTTCAACACCGACGAGGCCATCCAGGCGCAGTTGGCGGCGTCGATCAAGCTGGAGGACGCGGTGGAGAACAGCTACGATGTGATCTTTGTGGTCGGCGGCTTTGGTGTCATGTGGGATCTGCCCGAGGACGCTGCTCTCCAGGCCCTCTACCGCAAGACGTACGAAGCTGGTGGCGTGGCAGCGGCGGTGTGCCATGGGCCGGCAGCGCTGGTCAACGTCACCCTCTCGGATGGGAGCCTGCTTGTGGCCGGCAAGGCCGTGACTGGCTTCTCCAACGCCGAGGAGCACGCTGTCGAGCGGTACGATGTCGTTCCCTTCACCTGTGAGAACAAGCTCGCCGAGCAGGGCGGCAAGTACTCTGCCGCTGAGCCGTGGAACTCGAACGTCGCCTCGGACTCGCGCGTCGTCACTGGTCAGAACCCGCAGTCTGCCCGCGACACTGCCAAGGCCATCATCGAGGTTGTCAAGGCCGCGTAGATGTCCCATTCGCCTAGATCGCTAGCCTGTCCCTCCCCCCCTCGCGCCGATGGCCGGCCGGGCACCTGGTAGCAGCAGCTGCTGTCCCAAGCAAACACACACTCCACTCTGCGCATACGCCGACCTTCGTCATGGCTGCCTCTGCCAGCAGCCATGCATACCTCCACACACCGCCAGCCACCCGCCTTCGGTGCGGCCGCAAGGCGGTGGTGGGCGTGGTCGTCCTTGACGACGAGGGCGTGGTGGTGACGGCGAGTGCCGACCGCTGCCTCTCGGTCTGGCTCCCCGAGTCAGAGGCCATCTCCTCGCTCTCGTTTGCGCTCTCGGTCACACACACCTTTGACTCTTCGCTTGCTGCCCTCGATTGGGACTGGCATCGACGGCAGCTGCTGGTGGCGCTTGCCTCGGGCGAGCTGGTCCTTGTTGCCCTCGACGACGAGTTCGCCGAACTCATCATTGTCGACGTGCTGCAAGTCCACTCGGCCGCGCCTGTTGCCCTTGTCTACGATGGCCTCAACGAGACGGTTATCTCGGTCGGCAAGGACAAGGCGCTGCGGACCTTTGATCGCGAGGCCAATGTCATGCGGGGGCTGCGACTGGGCAAGCTTGGGACGCCGACGTCGCTGGCGGTCGACGGCGAGGCCCGCAGGGTCTTTGTGGGAACCTCCAAGAAGGCCATCCACATCTACTCGCTCGCCGATGACAAGCCGCAGTTGCTGGCGACGCTTGCGGGGCACTCGGGCCCAGTGGCCGCGCTCGCCTACGACGCCGGCACGTTTGCACTGTTCTCGGCGGCGCGATCGGCCGACGTCCGGGTGTGGGACATCGGCGAGGCCGGCCGCGAGTTTGTGGCCAAGCTTGTGGCCCATGTCTCTGCGCCGCGCGCCACCAAGATCCAGGCGCTGAGCCTGGTCTCGGACGGCGAGCCTGCGGTGCTGATCTCGGGCGGCGGCGACAAGAACGTCATCACCTGGGCCTTTCGCCCCGACGACCGCCACGCCGGCCTCGTCCCTGCCAACCTCGTCCCCTTTGCCGCCATCCAGACCCACACTGCCGCCATCTCTACCATTGTCGTTGCTCGCTGGCTTGAGTCAGGCGCCGAGCTCGTCTTTACCGGCTCGCATGATGGCTCTGTCAACATCCATCTCCTCGAGCGATCTCTTTAACCCCCCCCTCGCCGCCTCCTCCTCCAAAACGCCCACCCTGTCCCTTCCCCC